AGTCAGACTCACTTCTGCTGATGCTCGCTAATGAAGCGCGCGGTGCTCTGATCGATCAGTGACGTTACCATGAGAACGGGAGGCTGAGAGAACGAGGAAAGATCTTCACCTCTGGCAAAACGAGCTTCCTCACTGCTCAGCAGAACAGAGGAGAGCCGGAACGAACGGAGAGATCCATCTTAGGGATGTGTGTGTGTGGTTCCCGTCTGTGTCTGGAGAGACTCTGAACAGCGCCGGAGAGAAGATGGATTACTCACTGTCAGTGAAGCAAGGCCCTAATGAAATTAAGTCTCAAAATGTTTTTTAAAGATTTTACATTTTACTTCGCATTGCTTGCAGACTTTTGTTTTTCAGTTGCACGTCCTCAGGTGGGATTTGTACCCATAGTGTTAATATTACTGTTACTATAAATAGCTATGTAAGAGTGACATTAAACTGTTAAATATATATATTTTATTTATGTAATTAATATATTTTTTAATTCGTTTTATGTTTTAATTTATTTATAGTAGATCCATTAATGGTTATGTACGATTCAGTTTATTGCTGTTTGAATGCTTTTAATACATTTGGCCTATCTGAAACCCTGACGGACTCAAACACATAACGCCGAGTCCTGCTATGATTTACAGTGTCTGCTCAAATTCAGTGTGAAATTTCTCCAAGGGTGACAGAAACACTAACACTTAATTTTAGAAGTCTACAAAAAAAAGAGCGAAAAACGCAGAGAGCACAAGGGCAGGGGGAAAGGCTGGGAGGGGGTCTCACAGAGAGAGAGAAAAAAAACCCTAGCTTTGGGGAAGGTGTGCAACGGAGGGTGAAATTAGAGCCCGCAGTGCTACATATTGTACCAGAAGCTCCTCCAAAAACACCAGGAGAAAGAAAAATCATCCTCTAACCTAACTAGGAGGCAGACTAGCCGACTTGCCCCCTGCGTCCCTCAGAGATCCGTCCAAAATATTTCCACTTTACTGCCGCTTTCTGCAGTCTTTATAGTGGCAGCGAGTATTTCATTCTTTGTTTATAAAATATCACCATGAAATAACCAAACATAAAATACATTCTAAAAAACATTGTTAAATAATGCACGAGGTAATACTGCGTGCATTAATATTTTAAATAAAATGATCATTTTCCATAAATTCCACTTAAACCCTTCCAAATCTTGAAATCACATTTTGTAGTTAAATATGTTTAATTATTTAATTTGTAATTATTTTTATTTAATTTAGAATGACTCCCATCAAATCTGCAATTCAGTATTCGTTTATTATATTTGCTTTCTCATAAAGCAAAGTGTTTTTTATGGCAGATCTCTGAGGGAAGTCGCACGGAAATTCACTCTTGTAAATTACAGGCACAACATCAAACACTGAACACGTACTTTTTTTTCTTTTTTGTCCAGGTGTGTCTGAAAGAGGCCAACCCCGAAGTATCGAACTTAAATTTAAAGAATATTCTGATATTTATAGCCTATGATAAAACAGCTGCATTTGCATTTCTTATAGGAATAATATAGCCTATAATATTTACAAATATATATTTACTTTTACCTAACACCTACAAAACCTGAATTGAGACTGTAAATTAAGTACGACAGAATTAGAACTAATACAGTAACAATACAGTGCTGCCTTGCAATGAAGAGAATACAATACAATACAACATAATTTCAAAGATGTAATATTTTCTTTTGCCTCAAATTTTGTAACGATATATATATATATATATATATATATATATATTAAACCATGTATTTTAACCATTATGTATACTACCATATATTAATTTTTCTTTTTTTTTTTCTTTTTTAGTTTCCGGAGGATTTGGAGACGATATAGCGCCACCTACAGTCAGCCTCTGTCAGTCTTACCGGATCCAAAGCTGCTCACCGCAGAGACGAGCGCAGCAAATCAGAACAAGATGGTGTTTAAATCAAACCATAATCACACCATCGACCTCTCCATTAATGACATTAGAGCTGTGCTTTTCCAGCATGATGCGTATTTGGCCTATTTTTTCGGAGGCCACAGCTGTGCGCATTTATTCTGAGTGTTACTGTGAGATGCTGACTGAAGGTGAAGGTTAATTTAATACAAATGCTCATTTTACGCGTCTTATTACCTGTGCGCTCGTTTGTTATTCGTTACAGAATTTATACGATTCATTGCGAACATGGAAGACAATACGCAATTCTGATTTGACGGAGTTCCTCATAAGTCGTAAACGATTATATCACAAAGAAAAGCAAATGATTAGCTTTCATCCTCGCTCAATTTCCGCTAAACGCTCATTCATTCAGAGGCGCCGAGTTTCTCCCTCCCCTTTTGGAGTGACAGGCGGATGGAGCTTCATCTGAGCGAATCACAAAGTGCTGGAATCTACTGCCTTTGTCTGATACACTCATCCATAGTGGCGAAAGGGGTCCGCGTAAAGGAGGGGGCTGGAGCTTTTACAAACCAACCCGAGCGACCCAAGTTGGGATTTGTACCCATAGTGTTAATATTACTGTTACTATAAATAGCTATGTAAGAGTGACATTAAACTGTTAAATATATATATTTTATTTATGTAATTAATATATTTTTTAATTCGTTTTATGTTTTAATTTATTTATAGTAGATCCATTAATGGTTATGTACGATTCAGTTTATTGCTGTTTGAATGCTTTTAATACATTTGGCCTATCTGAAACCCTGACGGACTCAAACACATAACGCCGAGTCCTGCTATGATTTACAGTGTCTGCTCAAATTCAGTGTGAAATTTCTCCAAGGGTGACAGAAACACTAACACTTAATTTTAGAAGTCTACAAAAAAAAGAGCGAAAAACGCAGAGAGCACAAGGGCAGGGGGAAAGGCTGGGAGGGGGTCTCACAGAGAGAGAGAAAAAAAACCCTAGCTTTGGGGAAGGTGTGCAACGGAGGGGGAAATTAGAGCCCGCAGTGCTACATATTGTACCAGAAGCTCCTCCAAAAACACCAGGAGAAAGAAAAATCATCCTCTAACCTAACTAGGAGGCAGACTAGCCGACTTGCCCCCTGCGTCCCTCAGAGATCCGTCCAAAATATTTCCACTTTACTGCCGCTTTCTGCAGTCTTTATAGTGGCAGCGAGTATTTCATTCTTTGTTTATAAAATATCACCATGAAATAACCAAACATAAAATACATTCTAAAAAACATTGTTAAATAATGCACGAGGTAATACTGCGTGCATTAATATTTTAAATAAAATGATCATTTTCCATAAATTCCACTTAAACCCTTCCAAATCTTGAAATCACATTTTGTAGTTAAATATGTTTAATTATTTAATTTGTAATTATTTTTATTTAATTTAGAATGACTCCCATCAAATCTGCAATTCAGTATTCGTTTATTATATTTGCTTTCTCATAAAGCAAAGTGTTTTTTATGGCAGATCTCTGAGGGAAGTCGCACGGAAATTCACTCTTGTAAATTACAGGCACAACATCAAACACTGAACACGTACTTTTTTTTCTTTTTTGTCCAGGTGTGTCTGAAAGAGGCCAACCCCGAAGTATCGAACTTAAATTTAAAGAATATTCTGATATTTATAGCCTATGATAAAACAGCTGCATTTGCATTTCTTATAGGAATAATATAGCCTATAATATTTACAAATATATATTTACTTTTACCTAACACCTACAAAACCTGAATTGAGACTGTAAATTAAGTACGACAGAATTAGAACTAATACAGTAACAATACAGTGCTGCCTTGCAATGAAGAGAATACAATACAATACAACATAATTTCAAAGATGTAATATTTTCTTTTGCCTCAAATTTTGTAACGATATATATATATATATATATATATATATATATTAAACATGTATTTTAACCATTATGTATACTACCATATATTAATTTTTCTTTTTTTTTTTCTTTTTTAGTTTCCGGAGGATTTGGAGACGATATAGCGCCACCTACAGTCAGCCTCTGTCAGTCTTACCGGATCCAAAGCTGCTCACCGCAGAGACGAGCGCAGCAAATCAGAACAAGATGGTGTTTAAATCAAACCATAATCACACCATCGACCTCTCCATTAATGACATTAGAGCTGTGCTTTTCCAGCATGATGCGTATTTGGCCTATTTTTTCGGAGGCCACAGCTGTGCGCATTTATTCTGAGTGTTACTGTGAGATGCTGACTGAAGGTGAAGGTTAATTTAATACAAATGCTCATTTTACGCGTCTTATTACCTGTGCGCTCGTTTGTTATTCGTTACAGAATTTATACGATTCATTGCGAACATGGAAGACAATACGCAATTCTGATTTGACGGAGTTCCTCATAAGTCGTAAACGATTATATCACAAAGAAAAGCAAATGATTAGCTTTCATCCTCGCTCAATTTCCGCTAAACGCTCATTCATTCAGAGGCGCCGAGTTTCTCCCTCCCCTTTTGGAGTGACAGGCGGATGGAGCTTCATCTGAGCGAATCACAAAGTGCTGGAATCTACTGCCTTTGTCTGATACACTCATCCATAGTGGCGAAAGGGGGTCTGCGTAAAGGAGGGGGCTGGAGCTTTTACAAACCAACACGAGCGACCCAAGTCCTTCAGTCCCGGGCCGTGCGCGCGTGCGAACGCACCGTGTTGTTATTGAGGGAAAGCTGGGCACAGGAAACCCGCAGTCTCCAATGGTTCTGCTATCTGTCATCCATGCGCAGAACCCAAACCCAGCAGCCCCGCACCTGCTAACCGAGACCACCGGGATATAAGAGATATTAACACGCGAATGGATGGGACAAACGCTGGAAAACGAGTTCTGGGGAAAGCATGCGTGCTGAAAACATTTAAGCATTTATTGCTTTGAGAGCACTTTGTTCTGACCTAGAACGCACGGTCATGTCTGACACCTGACAAATCCTGCGTCCATCTGTAACTTTCCGAAGTTCGCCTCTTTCCTCGGCTGGATTCACCTTAAATCTTCGTTTCTTTCAGTTGTGCTGGTGTGTAAGAAAGACGAGACGGCGACTTCAGTTGATTACCTGTCTTTTCTCTGTTATCCGATGGATATTCACTGTAAGGCAGACCCCTTCTCCTCCATGCACCGTGAGTTACACTGGAGTTTATCTGGAGAATGTCTTTCACGTTTGAGCCAATTAAGATCCTCACTGGAACAGGAAATTATTAGGCTTCCGGATAAAAAAAAAGATAAAAAATGACACTGTTCTTATATTGCATTTAGGGGAAATAAGATAATAAATAAATCAATATAAAACAGAAACATTAAAGAACTCGGTTAATAATCGAGATAAATGTGCCTGCGTGTGGTTGGTGGTGGAAATTAAAACATGCGTTTTTTTGCATTTTTATTTACAAAAAAGAACGCGAATGCAATGAATTAAAAAATACCAAAATATTGATAATATTGCGAAAATTCCACTTCGATTTAAAGCAGTAAATATTCGTGATTTTTCAAAGCAAAAACTGTAAATTTGAAAATATAACATGAGATTGCTAAATGGTTCTGCATCAAGCTTTGGGCTTTTAATTGAATCAAAATGGAATGTTTTTAGAAAAACAATCAATTGAGAATAACAATATGTAACGTGATCAAACAAAACTGTTTAATAATTTATATCTAGGGAATGAAAACAATAAATGCTCGTGTAATTTAATCGGTCACCTACGAGTAACAAACCCCAGTATTGTTTCAACAACCCGGACAGGAGTTTAATGTACTTCACTAGAAAACACATATAATAATAAATGTTACATTTTCGACCCTGTGGAGAATTTGTGAAACGCTTAAAAAATGCTACTGACAGTCATTATATTTACGCATCTGTGTTACATCTACAATGGATTTAGAGATAGAATATATACAAAACATATTTATATTTAGAAATAGATATATTTATATATGCATTTCTTTTTGTATAATAAATATAAATGCATTTGCATATAATATTGCAAAGTTTTAAAATATTATTATAGAAAATAAAATGGAGTAATAATAATAATAATATTGTAAATTAACTAATATAATAAAATATAATATCGTATATGTTTGTGCATGTTTTTGCTGTGTGTATGTGTATATCTATAAACCCAAATAATGCAGATCGGTTATGCAGAATTATTTTATCATTGCATATATTCGTTTTCGTCTGTTTATTCCGTGACTTGATGTGAGTAGAGTCAGGGATTCATTAGCACAAAGTGCGGTTGATTGCAGTTAACCTTTCTTGCGTTTTCTAACTCGCGTGTGGCCGCACAGAACGCGCCTTTTGTTAATTGGGCGAATGTGACGCACGTCACTGACGGCCTGTATGTAATGTTATGTTGTGGGTGTTTGTTGCTGTTGTCTCCTGTATAGGGCACGGGGGAGTGAACCAGCTGGGCGGGATGTTCGTGAACGGAAGGCCTTTACCTGACGTCGTGCGCCAGAGAATCGTGGAGCTCGCGCATCAAGGGGTCCGACCCTGTGACATCTCCAGACAGCTGAGGGTCAGTCACGGCTGCGTCAGCAAGATCCTGGGCAGGTGAGACCCTAAACATGAGATTTACTCAGTGCAAGACGTCGCATTAAAGAGCAACGCAGCAGTTGATGTAAAGAGTATGTTCCAGGTGCTTTGTGTCGTTTTTCACATTTTTTTTTAACCTTCACTAACTTACAATCAAATTTTAAAAGTAGAAATATTAACGTAGTCTCCCGATGAGCTCACAACACACTGGATGGATACTAATTTTAATAGAATTAGCAACGTACTGCAATAGTTTTAGTTTGAGCACAAGACGAACTATCCAACATACTGTCGAAGAAAATAAAATGAAAGCATTTGCTCTTATTAACAGCGCAGAATTGAGAATCATGCAAGTTTGCGTTTCCCCTGATTGTTACCCAATTTGAAATCAACTAAACCAAACTAATCACTTGAGCTAAAGATCCATGATTTTAATTATAAAAGGGTTTCCATCTCAGACTATAAAATTCCAAAAGTGCTTTAAATGCCTTTTATTTTAGATAAAAGGGCCAATTAAATTATTTTGGTCTGGGGCTATACGTGCTTAAAAATGTATTATTTGACCAATGATTTGAATGTTTTAAAATGACGAATTATTAAAATAAAATGAATATGGCAGTTCAGGCTATTTCAACAAGGTCAAAAACTAGAAGTAGAAATGCTAATGAGCTTGTTCATTCATTGCCTGTCCATGTTATTAAATATAATAAATAATGGATTTCATAATACATTGATTTATTCATCCAAAAATGTTTCTAACATAAATTGATTTCAGTTTAGCTTATTGTAGTTTGGTCATCCCAGTATAGAATTCCATTTCAAATAGATTTTTTTCTCTCTCTCTTCATCTTAGATTAATAAGTGGGTAACTAAAACAGATGGGCTGTTTAATGTCCTGCTGCGCAAAATTTTAAATTAGTATTCTAATCATATGATAATTTCCTACTAGTGCTGCTATGGGCCGTGTTAAGTAGCTTAGATAGAACATTTTCATGGATTTGTTAGCACGCATCTGTTGTTTATTGTCATTAGGTTTGGTCAGGTTAGGAAAATCAGATTTACAGTTGTTTCTGCAGATATTATGAGACTGGCAGCATAAAGCCTGGAGTCATCGGAGGATCCAAACCTAAAGTGGCCACGCCGAAGGTGGTGGATAAAATAGCGGACTATAAGCGCCAGAATCCCACCATGTTCGCCTGGGAGATCCGGGACAGGCTGCTGGCGGATGGCATCTGCGATAACGACACCGTCCCCAGCGTCTCCTCCATAAACAGGTGAGGAAACCCAGTCATTTATCAATAACTGATGTGCCAATAATTCAGTCTTCTTTTTGGGTCAGTAATTTTCGAGAGAAAACGTCTTTGGCGTTTCTGGCTTCCGTCAAGAAGTTTTTTTTAACAATCTTAGCCTCTGTGTAAATCTGCAATAAAGTTATTTGACAATAGTCTGTTTGTGTTTTGTCCCGATAACTGATCTTACCTGAAAGTGGTCGAGAAGCGGACGGTCGCTATGGTTACCAGCTCAGATGAAAGCGCACCTTGACTAAATTCTAATCGTGGCTTTTAAAACTTTAAATTGAATTAACCCGCAAATATTTGAAACGTACCTATATTTAAATGCAAAACTAATTCATTTGACGCCCATCGACTTATTAGAAAATTACAAATCATTAATAAAAAAAAATAATAATAAAAAATACAGTATAAACTTCAATCGAACCGTCTGAACACCATTCGTTAAAGGGGACAAAAATGGAAATTATTTCCAATACATTTATTTAAAATCGCTTGTTTTGAAGTAAAAATGCTCTGCAATTCATTATAATGCATTTTGGTGAATATTAGGCTGTCCATTATTGCAGTAAATAGCTCTGTGCTGTGGCTTTGCCGGTGGTCTTGTGTATGAAACTCAATCCCCTGCTTCAAACTACCGCAACAATGACGGACTGAAGCTCTAAAATCTCATCTGAGCGAGTGAAAACCGATCAATGAAGGGCGATCAGACCTGGTAAAAGAGACACAGAGCTGCTCTATTAGAGTTTGCTATTTATCTGCTCCTTCTGTTTGCTAAAATAATCTATATTAAAAAGAAGACTGGAGTTTTCATATTTCATCATTTTCAGTTTCCTAAATGATCAAAATTAGAGACTAACAGTATTGCTTATTTGTGTAGAAATGAATAGTCTAGAAAATGCATTCTTAATGTGGAAATACTGCTGTGAAATAATATAATGAAAGTGTGATTTTTTTTTAATAATTCACAAGGTTTTACTTTTAACATTTTTTGTTTTGTTCCAACTGGAATGATGATCGATAATATACCACCTAGCCTACAAATATGGGAAATCTGCAGTATGCATACTCCATTATCCAATATGATCCTATTTACATCCTTAAAATGGTGGTTTAGGGTGGTGTGTTAGACTTGTGTGGAAAATCAAACCGGTAAAAAGAAGCAGTGAGGCGCTGAACTTTGGTTCACTCTTCCATAAAACCAGACTCTGCATTACATTTTAATGAGTCGATGGTGAAGAATAGAGCGCCTCACACAACAGAAGAGAAGGCTAGAAAAAAATTCATTTCATGCCTCATGGTCACCTAAAAAGGGCTTTTGACATGAACTTGTGAGATAAATGCAAAACGTACGTTAATGTTATTACCCAAGCCCTTAAACGTCTCTAAAATCTAATTGAATTCAGTCTGGCTATTTTGAAACAGGAAACAGGTCTTTGTTTATGAGGGGAAGTAAAATATGAATGCAGGCAAAAGTGACTCCTTTTTAAAGAATGTATTAGCAATACCTTATCATTTATTCCACCTTTACGTCTGTTTATACTTAACAGTATGTTGATATACTTACGCATGAAGCAATGAATAAGGATTATTTAATAAGGCCAAAACCAAGCTGAATCTGTTAATATAAGATATATGGGAATTCTGATAAAAGTCAGCTTGCAACTTGCAAAGAAGAGTTTGCGGATGCATTCAATTTTGGGTGTACAATAAGAGAATCAGTTGCACCTGCAACATCTTGTGCTTTATTCATTAAAGCAAAATGTTGCATTAAAGAAAAAAGCTCTAGTTGTGTGTGCAAACTGAGACCGGGCCTGTTGACAACATGAGGTTGATGTTCAGACTCGCAACACTTTTCTTTAACATACATTATTAAGTGTTACAGAGTTTCTGTTGTACTAAAGTGTCTCCACAGCCAACAAGTGGCAGCACCGAAACCGCCAGACTTATAAAAACCTCCTCAACGGCGCTCAATATTATTGATTCACATGTAAAGCAATTTTAATATTTCTTCCGAGGATTTTCAGACACAACCCAGACATTAATTCACTCTTCCAAATGACTTATTCGATAGCAGAAACATAGATTGTGGATAAAGTCTGCGGATTTATTCTCCCCAGGCCATACGAGGGGGTCAAACTATGGTTTTAAAGAGAGAAATGAAATATAATATTGATATGTTGTCACTGCACGTTCTTTCCATTCTCTGTTTCAATGCCCCGAGGATACATCCCTAAAGCTGATGTTTATTTCCGCAGATATCAATATTAGCAGCACACTCATTTTAATGGAAATAAATTTGCACTTTGAATAGTATCCGCGGTCTATTCTAAATATTTTTACAATCAATAATCTTCATGAGGCATGAAATGAAAAATACGTCACATACAAAAAAAGCATGGTTTTTGCATGCAGCACAAACTCTTCGCTTACAATGCATTTGTTTGCATGTGTCTGCTGAAACCGAAGCAATGCCGCTGGTGATGAATAGATCTAAAGTTTACAAATGAGCGTGACAGAGGGCCTTTTTTCCAAAGTGTTGTTCAGATTAACAGAATCAAATGCTGGCGTAAGCTTGTACACCGCACTGAGCAACTATTGCTTTCCTGTCACATATAATTTATAGCTTTCCATTTGCATCCCGGTACCCATGTGGCTAATTCAGAACTTTTTATCCTAGAGTCTAGATCAATAGAACCTCATCCACGCTAGAACCCAGCCTGAGGCTCTCCTCAGGACCGAAACACACACACACACACACACACACACACAGAGGACGATTATCGAGGTGAATTGTTGTGATTTCATGCTTTGTTTGCAAGATCACTCAAGGCAAAAGAGCTCAGAGAGCTTTTTGCTATATCTCACTTTAAAGGTACAGCGAGTCTGCTTCTCGCTCGGCTAAACGGGATCTGAGTGTCTGCGGTTATCTGTTCTGTCTGCTCGGAGATATATAAAGTAAATCTGAGATTATGAGTGAGAGACAGACGGACATAGAGTGACACACTGCATTGGCTCTGGAGTTCCATGCAAGTGAATGTACTGTATTTACTGTGCAGGATCATTCGGACGAAGGTTCAGCAACCGTTTCACCCCTCACCAGATGGCACGTCTCTTTCCACCCCAGGACACACTATAGGTAAGATCACATCATTAACTCCAGGGGCCATCTTTGGACCTTTGTGGAAAAGGTCATCCCTCCAAATCAAATTAAGAGCCAAAGCGTTCTGCTCGGAGCTGGATATTACCTGCATCTGGAGCAGATGACAGAAGAAAAACCACAATCAGATGCCTTCCTACTATGTCATAGCGGTTTAGTTCAAAAGTACAGATGCACTCTAAACTTTTATCATCTTTTAATTCGTTTCACGGCCCTGCATCATATTTGCTGAATGAAATCCAATACTTTTTTTTTTTTTTTTTACTAATTTTGGGGGGCTGAGTCTGTTTTGCTTGAGCACATCACACTTTTTCAAAATATGATGCATTTCTTAGCGTTTTTGCTTTGTAAGATGCCAAAGTCAGTTGTATAATGCCATAAATATCAGAAAAACAACCATAAAAATTATTTCTGTCTTCCTCTGAGCCAGATTACAACTATTTGTTTCATTCTTGGCCCATTTTCATATGTATTCCGAAAATCCTTTTGTGCCTAATCCATTTTTTTTCCACGTCTTTGCAGATTGTAAATTAATTTTTTAATTTTGTATACTTTTTGTATAAATTTTTTAGTTGATTGCTTTTGTTATTGTAATAAGTGCATGAATTTATATAATTTGAAAAATCTTCATTCTTATTTTGTGAAAAGGCTGTATGAGATGGAAGGTTGTATTAACATTTTTGAACTCAGCATTAGGTAATATTAGACATTTTCTGCACATCAGCATAAATACTTAGCAGAGCTAAATCATATCCAAATCATGTAAAGTGTAGGGGAAAATTCTGAGACAACAGTGAAATGTAAACTAGGGGATAAAAAAGAAAAGGTTTTAAGACTCAGTGGCATAAAATGAAGAATTATACAAGATTATGCACATTTTAGGTGACTAATCAAATACAGGTAAATTAGTAACATTGATTATGTGACAGATCATCAGATTTTCTTGCTTTCATTGAAGCTTAAGATACTCTCAAATCATGCTGGAGAATATGATCATCAGCTTTTGTTCATGCTGTTATTATGCAAAAGAGAGTTTGTGTTCATTTTTACATCTAAATTGTTATGCTGATAGCGTCATTTGTAATAATGAGCATTAATGTAGAAAAATCCAAAACACTAGTGGTCTCAGACTTTTGAACCCCAAAGTATCTTTGGGAAACAGATCAAATGCAAGAGATAAGTGATTCTAAAGTGATGTTATACAGATCATCTACCTTCTCTCTCGCTCTCTTTCACTCTTTATAGTCCCCAGTGCAGCATCTCCTCCAGTCTCCAGTTCCTCCAATGACCCTGTGGGCTCCTACTCAATCAACGGCATTCTGGGAATCCCTCGCTCCAATGGAGAAAAGAGGAAAAGAGATGCTGGTAAGTCTGCAGTTTCTCTCTCGTTCACATTCTTTTGGAGGACACGCAGACAAATACTCCTGAAGCCATGCAGGGCTACAAACAATAGGATTCCTTTTATTTTTTCAACTTTAATGAACAACAACAACAACAATTATTATTATTATTATTAAACGTCTGACTTCATAATTATTCATATTTATATTAATTTTTAATTGAATTAATATTGTTACATTTTAGTATTTATATTTGTATTTATCTGTTCATAAGCGAGCATATGAGGTGTATATTTGAGTAAGCAGAAATACCTGGAATCTGATGACTGTGCTTTTGTATTATGCATTATACTCAGTTTTCTGTTTAAATCTACTTAGTTTATTTTTGGCATATAATATTTGGAGCAGATTGCCCTTGAATGTGTAATGATCGGGTGCAGTATTTATCAAGTGTGTGACTCAGAGGGAGGCAGAGAGGGGTTTGATGTGGTGATGTGACCCCCACAGGAGCCCCCCGTTATTAATCTGCACTGCAGTGATTAAGAGAGCTTCAGTAATTACATGTCAAGATGATGTAGCCAACTAACAAACTCAGTCAAACAAGAGCGACAAGAGGACCTCTCTCTCTCACGTCACTTAATTTGACTATCGTACATCTGGTCAACTTTGCAGCCAATTCTGGCCAACGATCATCCACTTATTGTATGATTTCAGATTGACATGCAATATATGTATTTATTTTTTCAAAGATAGTGATACTTTTATTCAGCAAGGATGCATTAAATTGTTCAGAAGTGACAGTAAATATGTTTATCATGTTATAAAGGTCTCTATTTCAAATAAATGATGTTATTTTGAACTTTCTATTCATTAATGCATAATAGTTTCCACTGAAATATGAAGCAGCACAACTATTTTCAACTGATAATAATAATAATAATAATAATAAAAATAATGATGATTCTTGAGCAGAAAATCTGCATATTAGAGTGATTTAAGGATCATGAAGGATCAAATGATGCTGTAAATTGAGCTTTGCAATACATTAATAAATTACATTTTAAAATATATTCAAATAGAAAAGTTATTTTAAATTGTAATACTATTTCACAATATTACTTTGTTACTGTATTTTTGATCAAATAAATGCAGCCTTGTTGAGCATAAAATCTTCTTTCAAAAATATGTAAAAACCTTACAGACTCTGACCTTTTAAAATATTTTGTATATTAAGTCACAATATAAATGATTATTAATATTTAATATTAATTTTATTAATAATAACTAACATTAATAAAACATTATATAAATGATTCAAAATATACTAAAATATACAGTTTTGCTTGTGGATATCCACATAACATTACTTTACATATCTCAAACAAAATTTTGCATATCTTTCAAAGAGTTTATGCCTTTTGGCAAATCCAGTGACTAGTTTTACCTCAAAAGTTGCAATATAGTACAACAATGAGTGAGCGAGAACTAAGAGAAATTATAAATGCACTTACATGTTTTCCTGTCTGCTGACTTTGACGTCACAGCTCACCGTCTTTGCTGTCGAAGGGTTTTGTGAACAGTGTACATTCATATGGTGTCATCAGAAGCCAGAGTTGTTATGATGTCATTTTCTTGTGGCTCTAGAGAGATTATGTATGGCATAAATGATGCGTGGCAATAGGTGATTAAAGGGGTCATATGATGTTGCTAAAAAGAACATTATTTTGTGTATTTGGTGTAATGAAATGTGTTTATGCGGTTCAAAAAACACATTATTTTCCACATACTGTGCATTATTGTTTCTCCTCTATGCCCCGCCTTTCTGAAACGCGTCGATTTTTACGAAGCTCATCGGTCTGAAAAGCGAGGTGTGCTCTGATTGGCCAGCTATCCAGTGCGTTGTGATTGGCCGAATACCTCAAGCGTGTGACGGAAATGTTACGGCCCTACCATACTGTGATGCCCTGTCCGGCCGGAGCGACGAGACACAAACATTAAAACCGATTATAAACGAGGCATTTGTTGCATCCAGTGGGGACATAATTACGCATTATAATGATTTATACTGTCTTTTTAAGCGTTGCGTTGCATCGGGCCGTGTAAACATAAAACCATGTCTGCATTTGTGATCGGAGAAATGACAAACAAGCGCTACTCTACACTGCTCAAAACTC